CAATATTTAAAAAACACATTATATTATTATTCTCCTTTGATAAATTGATACATATTTTTCTCCTATCAATTTAAATGAGAATAATCAATGAAGAGTGTGCAAACATTTCAAAATCATGAGTTAAAAAACGCTGACTATGCGAGTATAAATATTAAAGCCGAACAGAGCGGAGCGGCGTGCTGCCACCGCGAGAGGCTCACTGGCGCCCACAAACCTAAGTGGATACTTCACGCATTGCACAATGCTTGAAGTGTCCACTTAGGTTTGTAGGCGCCTGTGCACGTTTGCTGGCCGCCCGCCCGCCGTGCGGCGGCGCCTGAAGCAACTATTTCACAACAGAGGTGTTGCACAGTATTGTACGAAATTGAACGTTTTAAGAATGACAGGCATCCTTTAAAAGTACAGATCTTTCTTCGCAAAATAAATCAAGATACTTATCGTGCACAGGAAAAATCGAGGCAAATATAAAGGTTTATCCGGTTTAGGTATAACAAGGTGGGAATATCTTGAAAGATAATTAAGTCCTGTTACACCAAAGAGGTGTAGAGAGTTTTAGTGAATTTTGTCGCATGGAATTGACGCTCCCCCATTTTTACCAAAACTCTCAACTATACATTATTCTCCGTTGGACCAAACAGACAAAACAAAAAAACAAGCAAACCCTCATTCCTCCAAGACATTATGCATTTTCATCCAAAAATGTCGTAAGCAATTGTCGTTTGCATTTACTTGTGAGCCAATTAACTTTGGGTCTCAAATGGCACGTGGACCAAAACTCCCGTGCCGAAAGAACGCGTGGACGTAAATTACTGGAAAAACAGGTGCGCGGACAAAAAATCGTTGACGAAATGTCCTATAACCCATTCGTATCTTTATACTACAAGAAAACTGTGTCGCTTTTTGATTGGTCAACGAGTTTTTAGGCTTCATGATGCTCTTACGGCCGTAAATAAACAAACAAGATGGCGGCTCACCGTAACATCTATAAGAAGCTAAAATTTGATAAAAATTTCAATTATACGGCAGTAACAATTTAAACTAGCAATACTAGCATGCCTACGTATAACACTTGAAAAAACACATGAAAACACTGTTAAATCGCCTTGCGCCTTAATCACAGGAGGATGTAAGATGTGCATAACCTCAAACTTGCTTGCTGATAACAGCTATCTTGTTTGTTTATTTACGGCCGTAAGAACATTGTGTCAGCCTATTTTCTCGCGACCAATGAAAAACCGGAACAGAAATGGCCATACTCTATCGCAAACAATATTTATCGCATTTTCGAAGATAAAAATCGTGATTTGAGGGGCTTGGAAGACAAGGTGCATGTGTGCAGTTTTTTGGACAAATTGAGTTATTAATGATTTCAAGTAAAACTAGTCTTTAATGATGCAGACAAGGGGAAAGCTCCCCTTAGCCTCGTTAACAGTACCCTTTTTTATTTTTGGAGGGCAGACATAAAATATTATCAGGGACGTACGCAAAATGATGTAAATTTACCGTCACGTTTTTTAATGGATTTTAATTTTCTTCATTGCCTTAGCTCTCCGACCCTGTTCTTATGCTCGTGGTTTGATTGATATGGATAACGGATGATATGTAAAACATTGGTTACTTTTTTTGACCAGAAATATGAGGAATTGTCAAAGAAATCAAGTTTTTCCATGTTTTCTCGAAACTTGACATTTAGCAATTTCGTCTTTCTTCGAATTACCCGTTCAATTGACAGTTCACAATGCTTGCAACCATACAGATTGACACCATATAGATTAACTTCTTCATCTACTAAGCAGTTTTTTGTGTCTTCTAAGCATTATCATTTTTCCGAGTTGGTGTATTTCATTCTTACAGATCCAATTGTCGCGAAGTGGCTCGAGAGAGTAAGGGACCCCCTCTGGGAGTGCAGTGCTAAGAGAACCTCGAATGAGCATGCTCAATTTTTAGGTAGAAACAAGATTTTCTCGAACAAAAAAGTTCATTTTCATTAAAATGTTTTACGGATTTTTGTCCAAAGTTAAATTTCGGCTGTCTATGAATTTCAAAGCAAAGTATACATTAATTTTCACGCAAATAAATACATTGGCAGACGAATTATTTTACGGTGTATATCCTTTACACCGCAGAGAAGACTTGACGGAAGCTGTGTCTTATATTGTCGTGCTAAGGAAAAACGCCATATGAACATGCAAGGGTTGATAAAATGTTTATTCTAGAGGAGAGATATTAATATTTTCCCTTGAAATCGTGAGATAATTCAGATCTGATTGCAAGTAAAATTCTCTGAAAATTTCGAGGTTGCGCTTGCACATGTTCCCCGGAAAATTCGTTTTTTTGGGAGAGGGGGCGTGGCAACGTCTGAGGGCTCATACGGCGTTCTTCTTAAGCACGGTAGTATGGTATGACGTCACTATGACGTGGAAACTTACACAATCCACCGCGGCGGTTGCCACCCTAAGTTCCGGATGCAATGCGACTGCCTGTTTTGCCACCAGCAGTTTATCTTCTTTTTTCGGGTAGATACCATATTTACTAATCATGTAATCCACTACGAGATTGACATATCCTCGGGTTTGGATGGGGGTGGAAATGTGCTCCACAGCATAACTCCTATGTTTCAGGAACGATACCAAGTCTGAGAACAATACCTTCGGACTCAAAGCTTTATCTGGAAATAGATAAGATCGGTCGTCTTAGAAATTAACGACGTCAAATCGGTATCATTCAACTGAGTCTACATTTTGCTGATATAAATTATAAGGATCAGGGGAACAAAAATAAGAAATTAATTATAGTCATGGAGGTAATCTAATGTAAGTAGGAGAATATCAGAGATTTATTTTTCTCACCAACAGTCAATGGGTCGGTTGCGCTAGTCATACAGTAATGTTTTGACGATTTCAGATTATAGATCGGTAAAAAGAAGTAGAAAAAGTAAAGAAATAGAAGAAAAGAAAAAGTAAAGAAAAAGAAGAAAAAAAAGTAAAAGAAAAAGAGAAAAAGTAATGAGAAAAGTAAAGTGAAAAATTTTTAAGAAAAAGTAATAAGATCTGTCTTTGCACCAACTTTTCACGTCCAATGTAATACACATATATTGCCCTTCAAGAAACACAGCGTAAAAGAAAAAGTGAAAAAGATTTAAGAAAAAGGAAAAAAAGATCTGTCTTTGCACGAAGTTTTCACGTCCAATATAATACAGAAATCGCCCTTCAAAAAATTAACACAGCGTATGACGTCATCCACTGCGTCGGTGCAAGCTACAATTTCTTTGAACTTGGTTTCACTCGTGTTTTAAAAGGATCAACCGAAGTAAAAGAGCGAAACTAATAATTAGTGTTTCCATATTGGGCGAAACTATGGTATAGAAAACCGCGGTGGATGACGTCATAAACTGAGTTTTCAGAAGGGCAATATCTCCGTTCATAATTACCGTGGAAACCGAGCTTTTGAACGGAGCTTATCAGCTTTTACTTATCTATAAGCTTAAACCATGCAGCAGCTCGATTGCTGAATCGATATCGAATGAACTTGATCGATAAAATACATTTCTAAGATAGGGATTTATCGATTCGGATTATTGGCGGACCCAGCGAATTGGCAACATTGTTTTTCTATATTTAAAGCCATGAAAATGTATCGATTCTTAGAGGGGCCAAGTGCTCCGACAAGAATCGATCATTTAGCATAGGTTTAAATGGAGGGAATCTGGCGTTGCCAAATTGCTGGATCCGCTTCTGATTCGGATCATTCGATAACGATTCAACAATCGACCCGCAGCACAGTGAATCGAGTCAATGGGAAAAGTCGGACAAAATTTGGAAACTTTAAGCGCTTTTGAACTCTGTCCATAAAAAAAAACTTTGAAGTTCTAACAGTGGTTCCATTGGTTTCCTCGTGAAATTTTCTTCGACATGCGCCATTTGAAATTTAAAATGTGACGAAATATACATCAAAATTTTCAGTTTTAGTCAAAAATTTCATGTCCGATCTCTCCATTTGGCTCGATCCACTGTGCGCAGGTGTGATTCTGCGACTAGCGCGACTGACCCGTTGCACTGCGAAAGGTATTATTTTACCTGGGTGCTAATAGAGTCAAAGCAAAATATATTTACGCATTTTTGGAAAGCGAAAGAAGACGGCTATCATGATTCTTAGATTTACTTTGCATTGATTTACTTTTACGATGCTTGACCGAAGACAGCTGATCTTGTGTCCTACCTAAAAGTGCGTTTAAACGTATTTGACGTGAACTTTAGGAGGTTCTTAAATAATATAAGCTCTTCTTCCATACCGGGTCCGAGCAGCCATTCCAGAACTATTTGAACAAATGGTCGCTTTACCGTGGTGGCAACTAGCGATGATGTTGTGGTCATCGTAAAGAATGGCAGATTCCTTCACCAAATAAAAAAAAGAAAACAAAGTCACAAAAAAATGGAAAAAACTTAAAATGTCGAAAGGTATCAACACTAAACAACGATGAATTTCTTTGCAAAAATCACAAATTCCAGAGCGGATTCCATACGGTTATGATCAAACATTCCCTCCCTCCACCTTCTATGGAATGCACCTCACCTCTATTAGGGTTTTTCTTTCTTTCACGGTTATTTGACTCGGATGCCGACTTGTTTGTGGAAACGTAACTTGCTCCTATGCCAATCAGAAAACAGAATTTGTTTACGACACTTCCCATGCATCTTCTGATAGGTTGAGTTTTCAACTAATCAATAGCTATGATTTTTTCACGTCACTTTGAGGCCCTCTGGTTGGTATAATTTTCATCCCTTCCAATTCGATATCGGGATTTTATGACGCAAGTTTGAAGTCTGACGGTTGGCCTCTCGTGCGCTTACTTCCAATCGTTTTGTTAGGTGTTTTATTGATTGATACATTAAAATCCCTTCCAATCAAAAAGGTAAATATAGTAAACAAGCACTAAGGTGCTTGTTTACTTAAGCGCTAAATTAAGTGCAATCATTGGGAAGAAAAAAGTCGTTACGTCATTATGTTTCAATGACACTTTTATTCATTGATAAGAGCAAAAAACTTTAAAAAAACAAGTAAAAATATGATCAGTTTTTCATCTACAGAAATAATATTCACAAATTCATACAGCAGGTTTCTAGGACATTTTTTACATCGATGTTTATCTACACATGATCAAATCCTTAAAGTATAAAACGTCGATTTAAGAGGTTTTGATTTTAGAGCTAATAAAATGTTATCTTTATGAACAAAAAATCTTTAGAAAAAGAACCTCGTATTTGCTCACTTGCACGCTTCTCCATTATGGAGGAGAGGTTTTAAAAAATGACATCCCATTTCCACTGTTCAACAATCTCCCTTCATACTCATCCACGTTTCTCTCTCCTTGACAGGTGAAAATGTTTGAATTTTTGGAGGATTCGATCACTTTTTGAAATCCCATTGTCAAAAATCAGCAGATAAGATGGAAGAAATGGGATGACAAGTGAAAGGTAGTAAGGCGAGAGTGGAGCGAGCGAGAAAAGATTGTAACTGAACATATACGTGACTATTCTCGGGAAAAAAAGAGAAAAAACTAGTAGCGAGGCGTGCTTTACGATGTATCGATTGATCTGCCAGTTAAACCTATGAAAAATGATTGATAAACAAGGTGTTCACAACGAACGCCCCAACAATCGATCATTTACCACAGCTTCAAATGGAGATAAATCGATAATCGATTATTCACGCCTCGCCACTAAAACAAAAACATGGACTAAGGACCAGACGTGGTCTCAATTGATTCCTAGGTCAACGGCCAGCGCCTCCAGTTGAGGGTTCAGTCTGATGGTTGACATGCTGAACTTGAAAATGTAGTGCTGAAACAACGTCCAAATGATTTCGCAAGCGGGTGGGTACTTCAAGTTGAGAGCGTAAAATATTTTGAAGGCAACGTCCACTGCTTGGATCGGAGAATCGACGCTGTACAAATTGTCGTTGAATTCGACGTAGCAATCCGGATTATTGACGTCACCCACGAAAACCGGGATCGGAAAAATGGTGCCGTTCCGTCGGTTCTCCTCAGACCTCTTCCTCAGCAACTTCATCAGTTGAGACTTCACTGGCACGTACAGGACGAAACTATCTTTAACATCTTTTCGAGAGAACTTCATGCTTTGGAACTTTATTGTTGCGCAGAGAGACGGTAGGGCTAGCAAACAGAATAGTGATTTCGCTGTATCACCTGAAACAGGAATTCGGATGCAATGACGCGACAGTTCCAAATTTAATAAAATATTTTACTACATTTTACGAGGTCCTTGATTGGGTTCCTCCTGGGAGAAGACGCAAAGGGCGCCCAATGAAAGGTTGGAGGGAAGGGATTGAAGCGGAAATGTTAAGGTGCTCAATGCCCCAAGATTTGTGGTTTGAAAGAGAGCAGTGGAGGTTGGGAGTCGTAGAGCGCGAGGGAGTGCTGTAAAGTGACTTATATGTACGTGTATTTTACTACGTTTTCTAACGATTTTTCATGGAAGGTGCACAAACAAGACTACCACGGTTGGATGGTTTTGTTTTCTTTAAAAAAAAAAAAAATTTCGACTAGGGAGCGAGGCGACGAAATTTCTTCATGCAGCCCACAAATAGTTCTTTCTTTTCATTTCAATTTCTTGTAAATTGTGTGATGAAACTTGATGCAGACTGTTTTTGTGAGAGAGAAGCTGCGAATTCGTAGCTGCTGTTGATGACCGTTTCTGCCGTGCGAAGGAAAAAAGCCGTATGAGCCTTTAGACGTTGCAAAATTTATTTTGATAAAATGTGAATTTTTAGGAAAATCTGTGAATATTTTTTCTCCAATTTTTATGAGCATTATTTCGGCAATCATATCTAAATTATGTGAAAATTTCAGGAGAAAATATTCACAAATCTACTCAAAAATAGACATTTTATTGGATGAAATTTGGCAATTCTCGAATCTTCATACGGCGTTTTTCCTTAGCACGGCAAGTTTTCTCCCGTCTAAGTGCAATCATTGACATTCAGGAATGCAAAAGTCTGAAATACTTTTCTCATGGGAGAGAATGGCTTTTTTTTTTTTTTTTTTTTTTTTTTTTTTTTTTTTTTGTTTATTTGTCATTCAACAACGTTACAATAGAATTAAAAGATTTACATCAAAAGAGATAAAAAATAAAAACAGGTAAGAAAGGGGGGTACGAAAGATTGAATTAAATCATTAAATCATTGTTGAGTGACTGCTGGGAGAGAATGGTTAATCAATCTATTTTTGACCATTCTTTCGACTGAGTTCAATACTGACAATTTTTAGGGATTGATTATCATCACGGATTCATCGAAAAAAGTAACTTAGTAAGGAATAAAGTGACTCACTCTGAGGATCTGACATTAATAGCTCAGGAACATCCGCTTCAAGGTGCTTCTTATATGTTCTATCGCGTTGCTTCTTTTTAACCAAATCCAAAAGATTTTCAGTTAAAGATTGCCACGAATCGAGCAAAATATTGTCTTTCCCGGGATGGAGACTACTGAAGTCCATCAGGATCTGAAAAGAGAAACGAGAGTTTCAAATTAATCCAATTGAAAAGAAAAAAGATAATAGCGAAAAGAATGTCATTTGTCATAACATGAAACTAGAATTGACAAATATTACAATGTAAGACGGTAACAATCTTTAAAATTCCGCTTATGTTTCCTTTCTTTCAATATTCAGTTATTGTTCCTGATTTTGGCGGTCCATCCAAATCCTAGACAGGGCCGCCCCCTTCTCATTCGTTTTGAAACATCAGTAAAAACCATCATGTGAACGTGACGGAGGGGGAGGTGTGCATAAGACGCGTTTAATCGAGTTGGGCACATTTTTTGCGAGAGCCCTATCAGCACCACTAGCAAAAATTCATGGGACTTTGGGCGAAAGTTAGGTTTATTAGAAATGAACGAAAAAATTATGAAAGAACAAACATAAATATGGTTTAATAATTTCAACTTCCGCCGCACCGCGCTGACCGAACTGTGTTTTAGCGCAATGCGTGAAGTATTCCCACTGTCTTGCAGGTGCTATGCGGTTAACGCCGACCGCTGCTGAACGAACTGTGTTTGACGCAATGCAGGGAGTATTCATGCAGTCCTGTAGGCGCTAATACGTGTTTCATGCCAACCGCCGCGCCGAGGGCTTTTCTTTTTCATCTCAAGTTCTCGTCATCATTGCTCTCTGCGCCGCGCCATTTCAGGCCAAATTGCGTTTTTGGTTTCTTTCTTAACTCGACTAATTAAAGATGATGTCTCTTGTATCACCGAAGGACGACAAAATTAGAAATTACTATAATCTCAGGAAATGAGAGTTTTTGTCGCCTTTTCTCGTTTGTATTTTTTTTTCTGAGTCCGATTTTTTTTAATACCTACATTTAAAAAAGTGCAAAATTTGCCGCCATGGGCCGCAGCCCATGTGGCCACCCCCTTAATCCGGCCCTGATCCTAGAGAGCTTAATTTGAAATCATCGCTGGAATACGTTTTTCAATATTCTCTTTAAAAGAGAAAATTTAAAACGTTGATTTCACAATATGTAATTTTACATACAATGAAGGAAACGCAAATTACAGTTGTATCTTGTGATAACGTTTCTCAAAAGAACGTTTCCAGTAAAAATGTTTATTTTCTCAAATCCCGGCCGGTCCTTTCTCGCTGTAGCGTATCTCGAAATGCCGTTCTTCCCGAAGCAACGTTCAATTTTTAATTCTCCCTCGAAAACTTTACTACAATGTACAAAGATTTTTTTTGGGTAAAAGAACCAAGACCTTCTATTACAAATTCGAAATGTAAATTATTCAACTATTTCTATTATGTGAAGCAACCGCATAACTGACTCTCTACGTGCTGCTACACTCTTGATTGGGTTTTTGAGTGATACCACTATTCGGCCTCCGCGGCTACGCTAGGAAGTATCTTTTCTAATTGAAGGCGTTTCTCATGCATCGTTAAGCTCCAACAAAGAATTATCTCAAGTAACCGCATTACTCGCTGATCTATGCTACTACACAGTTGATTGGATTTTTAAATATAGCACACTGTGTCACGTTAAAGTGTTGCGGGATATTTAAAAACGGTTTACGGTTCCTTAGTGCAAAATATCAATTTCTTTTGATTTTTTCTTCTTTTTTCAATTATCATTGCAAAGAGCGATTATCCAATGGTTTCTATTGAAATTATCCGATTTGTTCATTGTAGCTCATCGAATGGACGCGGCAGTTTGAATTATTTTTTGAACTCACCAGTTGATGTCCGAAATCTTCTTTCAAGGCTGGAAACTTAGTGAAATAGTCATCAATCGTGCGGCAAGATGTCCGTAACAAGAGGATTCGTTTCGGCATTGTTTTTTTCCATTTTTCGACTACCTCGTTGTAAGGCTCGACGTGATTGCTGAACCACCTCAAATCTTCATCGGACAAGGGATCCGTGGCTCCTGCCATTTCATCTGAAATTGATCAAATAGATAACTTCAACCTCTCTCAAACAGGGAGGATATTTCTTTACAAAAAAGAGGGAAAGTAAAATTCTGAATATTTTTTGTATTAATAAAAATTTGTGAGACATTATTAAGATACAATTGGAACGCGCTTAGCAGAAAGGAACCAAGTCACATCAGCTGCCAAATTTAACAGGGCAGTTCAGTTTTTTCCAAGAGAACGTTTGTGCGGTTTCCTTGGAAAATTTTAGGGAAATTGCTTCGCACTGTGCAGAAAATTCATTGAAATTTACACAAAAATCTGCGGAATCGTTTTCATGTAAAAAATGTAATTTTCCAGCAGAGATGATTAGTCTGTCTGCGCCACACTGCAATTTGCAAATTGCTAAAAACGTATGCTTCACGATCTTGCCGGGCGACCTTGCCTATCCGCTCCTCGGCAGTCGAAGTGTCCGCGGCGGACTCTCCTTCTTGCAATCAATTAATAAACCCACCCACACTGGAAAAAAACACATTGGATCTACAGTGCAGGCTCTTAAAAACATCGACAAGAAAAAATACTCTTGATTCAATCAGATTTAAGCTTAAATCAAGAACCAAGCCTTTTAATTTGAGCGGATTTCCTTTTGATTTAAGCTTAAAGCTGATTGAATCAAGAGTCCTTTTTCTTGTCAATGTTTTCAAGAGTCTGGACTCTAGATCCAATTTGTTTTTTTTTTTCCAGTGCATGATAGCAAAAATAATTCCTGTTGATAACACATAGTGAAAATGAGCAACAACAAAATAGGTGTCACGTAAACAGACATCAACAGAGGAATTACCAAGGATAATCTCAGTTAACCCACCTATGGTAAATAAAAATAAAACTCCTGTAAATCAAAGATGTAATCTGGATGGCTCGAATTCACGATTCCTCAACCTCCAGATCATTTGATACATCTATGCGAAAATGATGCCTTATCCTTTGCATTGAACGCCAAAGAGTTGCGGAATGAACCGTTTCCGGTCGGTTAGCACTTCGAAGANGGGGGGGGGGGGGGTTTGTGCGCGCGGTTTGGGGTTGAGGATTCCTAATTGGGATCCGATCATTAGATCATTACCGTCCCTTCCCGAAATCGTACCCCCATTTCCGTAATATACCACTTCGTTTAAGGGCCGCGGTAAATGATGTATGAGTGCATCGCGACGATATTCACTGTTCAATGACTCGTTTATTACCGGGGATAGGGATACCCGAGCCACGGGGCGAATCGGCAATGGGGGGGCGATTAAATGGTAGTTTTCGGGAAGGAGCGCGGGCAGCTTCAAGCACGGCATTTCTAAAATCGCAGGATGGTGCGGACATCAACGCGATAATGTACAGGGTGAGCGAAAAGTCCCCGACCCCCCCTCTAACTTTTGAACGAATTGAGCTAAGGAAATGAAACTTTGGGAATGTTCCTATCTCAAAGGGGACCATCTTTTGAGGGGGTCAAAATTTTGGTCCCCCCCTCAGGGGGGGACAGGGGCCCCCCAACTTTTTTTTTCAAATAGCAACCCCTATCTTGTGATACCTCATTCGAAAGAACATAAAAAACTAAGAATTTTGGCGCAAACCGCAGATCAATATCTCAATTTTTGACCGAGTTATGATAGGTCAAAGGTCAAATTTGACCTATTTTCAAAAAATCATAACTCCGGTTCAAATTATCGTAAAGAAAAAAATAAAACGGGAAAATTTACCAAATTGTGTTCGCTTTTACGTAAAAATTGCAGAAATCACTTCGATTTAATTTTAAGGGGGGGCTCGGACCCCCAAATACGTCAATTCAAAGGTCATTCAATTTTCCCGCGAAATAAGCCAATTTCCTCTGGATTTGCCTCCACATTATCTCAGTAAGGTCAAAATCAGTTCAACATTACGTTGGCAAGTCCCCAAATTTCGGGAAAAGTTAAAAAAACGAAATTTAAACGGTCAAATTTAATCACCTTAAATTTCGTTTTTTTAACTTTTCCCGAAATTTGGGGACTTGCCAACGTAATGTTGAACTGATTTTGACCTTACTGAGATAATGTGGAGGCAAATCCAGAGGAAATTGGCTTATTTCGCAGGAAAATTGAATGACCTTTGAATTGACGTATTTGGGGGTCCGAGCCCCCCCTTAAAATTAAATCGAAGTGATTTCTGCAATTTTTACGTAAAAGCGAACACAATTTGGTAAATTTTCCCGTTTTATTTTTTTCTTTACGATAATTTGAACCGGAGTTATGATTTTTTGAAAATAGGTCAAATTTGACCTTTGACCTATCATAACTCGGTCAAAAATTGAGATATTGATCTGCGGTTTGCGCCAAAATTCTTAGTTTTTTATGTTCTTTCGAATGAGGTATCACAAGATAGGGGTTGCTATTTGAAAAAAAAAGTTGGGGGGCCCCTGTCCCCCCCTGAGGGGGGGACCAAAATTTTGACCCCCTCAAAAGATGGTCCCCTTTGAGATAGGAACATTCCCAAAGTTTCATTTCCTTAGCTCAATTCGTTCAAAAGTTAGAGGGGGGGTCGGGGACTTTTCGCTCACCCTGTATAACAATGTTTCGAATAAAAACTCGGGAAAGAACACGATTAAAGGATTAAAACACGCAAAAAACACATGATTTGCACTTGTCTTAGAATCGGCGGGCCAGGAAAGACTGAATGCAGCGAAAGGAAGCGTCCCGAATGCTTTCGGGCGTGCTGTGGTATGTTGGTGTACCGTGTTGGTGCCGTATAAGGATGAGAGAAATGAACGGAAACAACGGATCTCGTACGAACAAACAAATGTTTTCAGGTCGATAAATGTACAGGAGCACTGGTGAGAGTGGCACTAAATCTAACCGCCGTGCGGGGGCGTCGCGTGGCGGCCCGAGCGATGGCCGAACTCAGAATGTCCGGTTGCTCTGGCCGAGGGAATGATCATCATGAAGAGAAAGACGATGAAGAAAAAGGTAGGGAACAAAGAATGTGAAGAAGCAGGTAAGAAACAATCCGTGCCAGGCTAACGGTTGTCTACGAGGTCGCGGAGTCGCAGACAAGGGCGCCGCCTGGTAAATGGTTGAACAGGTGAGACAGGCGCTAGGCTAATGAATGGAGATAGATATGAAAAGGAAACATGGCATGGAACCGTACTACAGAGCCAGATACACCTGCGCGCTAGACGCGCGTCATGACCCGAAAAGTAGGATCCTATCCTACCCCGAGCGAGTTACGAGAGGCGAGCTGCGACCTCATTGGCTACGAAGATTGTCGAACACGGCCGAAGGCAAAGTCGCCGCTCAAATCGCGCGTCTAGCTCGCAGGTGTACCTGCCACTTAAGGTATAGTATAGGTAGGAACACTCCAGGTATCAAATCAGGCACAAGGGGATAAATACAGGTGGGAAAGGTGGGGGGCGGCGGGCGCGGACACTTCGACTGCCGAGGAGCGGAGCAGACGATAGGCAAGGTCGCTCGGCAAGATCGTCAAGTATGCGTCTTTGGCAATTTTCAAAATGCAGTATGGCGCAAACAGACTAATCATCTCTATTTGTACCCGATTAAATTTGGCAATAGCTGATATATGCTGATGTGTATATGCTATATAGCTGTATATTCCTTTCTGCTTGACGCGGCCCAATTCATTCTTAGTAGATCTGGCTAATGCCAAGATTGCACCAATATAAATGGGAAATCAGTGAACAAATTGGTAAAAGCTAAAAATAATGTTCTGACCAGTATGACTATTTATACTCAGTGACGAAAAACAAACGCAAATAATGGGTAACAAGGGCTGAAATTCGACAAACTACCTGGGAAGCCACGGGGTGGTTTCAACCCTTTAATCGACCTGCGGGGCGATTATTGAAATGATATCGACTCTATGTCGATAGCATTTCAATAATCGACCCGCAGGTGACAAAAATACACGATAAAAAATTGATAAAAATCAAAAACCTTCAAACCCCCATTTGAGACGACAAGAAAAAAACTAAAAAAGATTCTTTCCTTATCGCTAGTATGAGTCTAAAGGTTATTAATTTTATATTTTTATTTTTTTCTCTTGGTTGATAAAGGGATTGAGGCCATTCCAATACGTCCCAGTCATATTTTGCTGAAAACACGGCAGCCCTGCTAATGTATTTGCTCCCTATCTTTGCACGGAGAGTTTGTCTTGATGTAGAGGTGGACTCTCAGGATAGCGTGGGATACCCCCTCCATTTTGACCTCAAGTTGAGAGCTTTTTTGAGCTTAAAAGTTGATGTCAGAGAAAACCAGTGGCACCATCGTGTTTCTCGCGAACTTTTATATGAGAATCAATGGTCAAATCGCAAATTCCTCACACATGCAACATCTCCATTTCAAGAATCAGCCCGTTGACCGACACTGAGAATTGTGAGCAATTTACCTCGGTCAGCGGGATTTTCGTCGCCGGCGGGCACAGATTTCCTGAACTTGACGATGAGGCCGCTGTTGCGCCAGGTCTTGAGCTTGTGGATGTACTTCTGGTAGAGCTTCCCGCGCGGAGACTGCTTCTTCCCGTGGCCGAGGTTGACCTGGGGCATGTAGTAGATGAGGGCGCTCTCGGTCGGGAAGAGGGCGACGACGGAGAGGGCGAGGAACTTGAAGCGCTCGGCGCTGATCTTCTTGTCGATGGAGTTGTTGAAGTCGTTGATGACGATCAGGTCGACGAGGGTCTTGCGGAAGGCGTTGTCGAAGCAGCCCGTCTCGAAGGCCCGGAGCACGGCCTGCCCGTCGAGGGTGCTCATGAGCAGCTCCCGCATGAAGCTCTGCAGCTCGGTCACCGTGCTCGCCGGCAGTCGGCTCAGGTCGTACCAGTTGTCGTTGTTCGACTCGTCGAAGAAGATCAGCTTCTCCTCCTTCCGCCGCACTCCGCTCTTCTGCGTTGGTACCAACGAACTGTACGTCTTCGAGCCGCCGACCGCCGCAGAACGTTTTCGCTGGCTTCTATTCCCTGTTCCCGCCGATGGCTCTGATTCTAAGTCTTCCGTCGGCTCCACCGCTGCCGCTGATGGTATTTCCGAACTTCCTCCCTAAAAAAGATAAATAAAATAGCAATAATTTAAGGGTTAGAAGTTTATTTCATCATTTTCCCCGATGGTCTACACTGAGAAAAAAAGTTCGGTCATGAGAACCGAATGTACGGTGTTCAATATCGGCCGTATTTTTCGGTTTATGTAACCGCTCTCTCGGTTCTGGGAACCGTATCCTCGATTCGCGCAACCGAGCTTTTCCGTTAGTTCTGTTCGGTTCAAATGATCGGTTGCATGCAAGTTTATTTCATCATTTTCCCCGATGGTCTACACTGAGAAAAAAAGTTCGGTCATGAGAACCGAATGTACGGTGTTCAATATCGGCCGTATTTTTCGATTTATGTAACCGCTCTCTCGGTTCTGGGAACCGTATCCTCGATTCGTGCAACCGAGCTTTTCCGTTAGTTCTGTTCGGTTTAAATGATCGGTTGCATGAACCAAGTATACGGTCCCTAGAACCGAGAGAGCGGTTACACGAACCAAACAATGCGGCCGATATTGAACACCGTACATTCGGTTCATAAGACCGAATTTTTTTTCTCAGTGTACAGCAACTACCCGTTTCATCATTAAGATCGCATCATTTTCTCATTGTCTCCTGTGTCTATCGCTTTGTCTATCAATTTCATGATCAGCCCGCATTGAATAATGCCTGGAAATTTTCTGTTAATTTTCCCTCGCGTTTTAAAGCAGAAAGTGCCTTGGTTTTCTGGTATATAAAAATTGTATGCGGATGAAAATGAGGGGAAGAGTAGTGAAGGTAGATTGATTCTTGTCGATGCCGTCCAAATAATGGCGTCCATGATGACGATTTTCCCGAAATTTGGAGTTTATGGGACTCTTATAGTTTTTTCAAC